GAGACCAGCCTGGACAACATAATAAGGCCCTGTCTCTTTTACAAACAAAAACACAAAAGACCAGGCCTTGTCCCAGGTATTTGCTGTGGTTTACCAGCTGTGCCCACCTGCCATTTCTCCACCCTGTGCCTGGCATTGGGGGAGGCCCCTGTGGTCTGTGCTCTCACAGATGCCGCTGAGGAGGGATTCAAGGAGGGACGAGGAGCACAGGGTGGGCAGTACCACAGCACCTCCGATGCCGATAGGCAATTGTACGCCAGCCAGAGATCCACTCCCCAGCCGAGGGAGGACAAGTGACCTCTGCTGTGAACCTGGAAGTTCTGGAGTGCCACAGCATGTGACTGTGGTGAGAACTGAGGACCCCGGGGCTGACCCCTCCACAGGCAAATGTGGCACATCCCAGCAGGCTGGGCTGCAGCACGCCTCCCCTGCCCTCCCCGACACTGGCTTTCTTCTTTAAAAGAGGAAAAAAAACCTGTTAATTCATCAGAACAAATTGTGTGCTGGGGCACCGAGCCTGAGGCAGGCGTGTGTGTTCCGTGCCATACGGATCAGGTTTCCCCGCTGAGATGTTTAAATCCTAAGGCCGTCCATTGGCAGCAGCCAGCTGGATTTGGAATTTTCCTTCTGCTCCTGCCAAGTGGCCTCCACAGCTGTGCCTTCTGGGTGCAGGGCAGCCGCCCACACCCCTCAGGGTAAAACCTGGGGTTCTCCTGCCTGCCCCAGCCCTGCCCTGACTCTCAATCCACAGCTCTTCACAGTTTCCCACCAGGCATTCTCTGTTCTTCTGTGGGTCGCATCCCTGGTTCCCCTCCAGAGAGCGCCAAAGGCCTAAACTCTAACGAACGCCAGGCTTCAAAGGAATAGCCCCCTTCTCCCCAGCAGACAGGAGTTCTGTGCTCTGGGGTGGAACCCCATCTTTGTGTTCAGCTCGCTCACTTCATAGGTTCCTGGCTCACAGGCGACAGAGTCAGGTCCAGGCAGAAAATGCATGTGGTGGGTACAAGTAGGATGCGTGAGCATGGAGTGGGCAGGCCTCTGCTGGGCACCTCTGGGCAAAAACCCGAAAGACCACGAGCCAGTCTTGCCAAACCCTGGGGAAGTGTCCGGCAGGCAACAGTGGGTTCCTTCCCAAGGCCACTGCCAGGCCTGACAGAGCCAGGGCCTCTCCCACAGTAACTTCTCAGCCCTGCTCCTCACCTGGCAGGGTTAGCGAAGCCCCACGTCCCCCTGCTCCAGGAGGGGACATGTCACAGCCTCTGCGGGAGGCCAGCCGGCACCTGAGGCAAAAGCAGTCTTGGAGAGTGTTCCCTCTTGGACTCAGCCTATGTACGTCCCAGGACTGGGGAGAGGAGGTGCTGGTGTGGCTCTCAGGATGGCAGCCCTCGTGGGGCCCGAGGCTGGTCACTTGGGGTCTGCAGCTGGTGCTCTGACCCTGTCCAGGTGGGGCCATGCGGGAGAGTGGGCAGCGGTCACCCCCCCACCTGCCACCCCAAAGCAGACTTGGTCAGTGGGGGATGGTTTCAAACTTAAGCGCTGTTGGAACCCTGGCTGTGGAGTGGCCCCTTATTTTCCTCTGCTTCCTCTCATGCAGGGTGGGAACATGAGGCAAGCCTTGCGGGTGTGGGGAGACTGATGTGTGGAGCTGTCATTACCACTGCTGAGTCCACTGCGCTTGTCAGGGCTCAGAGTCAGCCTGCAGAGTCTCCCTCGGCAGGACACCGGGACCATGGCCTCAGTCCTCCCTCCCCGAGGGCAGGGTCTCTAATGCGGAGGCATCAGGGCTGGCTACCCGCCCCACAATGGGCTGCTTTCGCCTGGCACCAGGGTTAGGAACACCTGCTCCTGACCCAGGAGATGCTCTCTGGTGAGCCCCCCATGGCGCCCGGCTCTGCTGCAGACTCTCAGTCCCCCCATCCTTGGCAGTGCTGGTGTGGAGGGTGCAGTGGGCAGGGCCCGGCAGGTAGGAGCCCACGCTTGGTTTCCGTGCCTGTGGCCGGTGTTGCACTGGCCCAGTGCTTTGTTTTTCCCGTGTTTCCCTCGTGGCCTCTCATCCCTGTGTCCATCTGTGCCAGCCCCTGTCTCATGAGCCTTGGAGAGAGGGGACCTTAAAAGGTCACTTCCCCTGCCCAGTGCCTGCCCCATGGGGGACCATCAGTCACCACGAGGTACTTGGCTGGAGCTGAGCAGAGAGACCTGGGTAGTTGGGGCACAGCTTCCTGAGTGTCAGGAAGGCAGGGTCCTGGATTCCCAGGTGAGATGGGCAGGTGGGGCTGGGGCCGGAACCAGAGGCCACCAGGTGGGTCCCCAGCCCCTCCCCTCAGAAGCAGGATGTGGTCCCCGCTGGCAGGGCCTGTCTTCCTGCCCTGTGTGAGGTGGGGGGCTGGGGAAGGGCCACGACGGAGCCGCTCCTGCCAGCCCACACACCAGGTCCCGCCTGGGCAGGTCTTGGGACCGGAGTGGCATCGGCCCGGAAGGTGTGGTTTCTCGACCCACTGGCTTCACTTCTCCCGGCTTCCCAGAAGGGTCGTCTTACATCAGCCGCTCATTTCCCTCTCTGGCAGCCACTGGCTCTGAGCATGTCTTTTCTTGCCACAATCAAAAGAACTGAAACTGTCCCAAGAAACAGAGTGGAACGCCCCAAAAACACCTAGGGAGGTAGGCTCCTTCCTCCTAACGCCTTCAGCGAAATGGAGGGCAGCCCCACTCTCCTGCCTCATGAGGGCCACTTCCTGCTTCCTTCCTGCCTCTCATCTGTGCCAGTGTCCCCTCCTGGGCCCAGAGACCAGCCCTCCTGCTATGGATCTGGTGAGGGGATTTCTAAAAAGCTTCCAAGATGCAGCTGAGTTGACAGCCACCAAACCACAGGCAGGAAAGGGATGGGGTCAGAGCTGTGGGGTCCTGTGCTCACTGAATGCCCAGTGTACCCTGCACCGGAAGGCAGAGCCCCACAAAGTGCATGCCGCCCCCATCTCCATCTTATAAAACCAAATGCTGAGGCCTGGTGGGGCAGCTTGAGTGTGAGAGGGCACATGGGGCAGGGCAGGTGGTGGGACCCTGTCAAGCCCCAGGGATCTGACATTTCCTCCCAGCCGGTGGATTGAAAGGGTCTTGATGCATGGGGGCTTCCAGAGCAGAGCCTTGGAGGAGGGCTGGGAGTTCTACAGGAAAGGGGCTGGTGTGTTTCTGGGCAGGATGCCAGGATATGAGAGCAGCTGTGTACTCCAGGCAGGCTGCTGTTTGCAAAGCTTGGGGTTGGGGGCAGTTGCACTCATGGTGCCCTGGGCTATGACCTCCAGGTATGGACCAGAAGACATGCCAGGTGCCTGATGTGGGCAGAGCCTCAGGCTCAAGCAACTTCCTGTTCTTGGGACACTTCTTCCTGGGCTGTGTCCTGATCTCTTGACTGCCCTGCTGGACACCCCCCAGCCCCACATAGCCAATGCAGTGTGGCACCACAGGGACACTCGCGTCGTCCCTTGGCCACGTCTTGCAACAGCTCGGAGCCACCACCAGGACAGGAATGGTGGAGTGTTGGCAGGCAAGCACCAGCTAGACCTGGGGAACACCGTGGATGCCTGGTCCACGGCCCACAGCTCCCATATCAACAGTCACCAGCCCACAGTGCACAACACCTCACACTGCTGCCCAGGCCATGTGTGCGTCTTCACATAAGTGACCAGACCCGGGACGTTAAATTTGCCGACGGTTTCAGAGATGGCACACCCTGTGACACCTGGCCTCCAGAGGGCAGGGCCAAGCATGTGACCTCAGGTGGCCTCCCTCTGGGAGCCTCCATTTGGGGCAGGGCCTGGCAGCCACTCGGCTCCTCATGAAGCACTGTGTGCTGGGAAGGGCCTCACAAGATCTCTCCTCTCCCTGCGAGGCATCTCTTGGCTCCGGGCACACACGGGATGCCTGCGGTGAAGAAGGCAGCGCCTGTGCTCAGACAGCGGTGCTGGGGTTGAGGGGTTCCACCACATTCCTTGGGATATTTCAGAGCTGTTTTTCACATCCCAGGCGCTGTCAGAGGTTTGGGAATTCGGTGCTTGCTTCTGCCTCCCACCACACGAAAGAGACGCCATACGTGCGTGTCATTGTCATCGCTGTTACCATAGCTGACAGCCATGAGGACTGAGGCATGCCAGGCCTGTGCTGACTGCCTTGTGAGCCTCAGTGTCCATGTGGCAATGGCCGGGCTGTGTCATCCCACAGACGCCGGCACCAGGGTGCAGGAGAGTGGCGGCTTCCCTGCCTGGCTTCCTGCTGCCTCTCCCAGCTGAGCTGGCAGGATTTTTTCTTATTTGAGACGGAGTCTCGCTCTGTCACTAGGCTGCTGGAGTGCAGCTTCCACCTCCTGGGTTCAAGCGATTCTCCTGCCTCAGCCTCCCAAGTAGCTGGGATTACAGGTGCACGCCACCACACCCAGCTTATTTTTGAGTTTTTAATAGAGATGGGGTTTCACCATGTTGGCTAGGATGGTCGCAATCTCCTGACCTCATGATCTTCCTGCTTCTACCTCCCAAAGTGCTGGGATTACTGGCATGAGCCACTGCGCCTAGCCAGGATTTTTTTTAAGTAGACCCAAAATATTCAAGGATGGGGGCAGATCCCCACATTGCCGTCTTTGGGGATGTTTGTGTAGGCGCTTTCGGAAGCAGTGTCTGCTGAGCTATGTGTTCCCAGGCTGAGGCTCTGGGCTCCACTATGGCTGAGGTGGGGCCTGCTGTGGTGGGTCCCTGTGGGTGTGTGAGCAGCACTGTGAGTGGCAGTCGGGACACATAGACGAGGGTAGGCCAACTCCGCACTCCCCCTGCAGGCCCACCCTGCTCTGCGTCAGCAAGTGGCCCTAGGGTGCCTTCGGCAGTGCCCGAGGCATGTGTCCTGTTGCCTGGCTTTCTGCCACCTATGGATGTGATGTGGCTGGAAGGTGGCCCAGGCCCTCCTGTCCTCTTCCTCCTCCCCTGGGCTAACAGCATTTCCCCTCTTCTGTCCTCCAGCTGGTCAGTGAGAAGGTTGGAGGGGCTGAGGGGACCAAGCTGGACGATGACTTCAAAGAGATGGAGAAGGTGAGGAAGAAACTGTGTTCTCCGTGTGGTGGTGGCACTTCCCGGCACTTCCGGGCCTGACCTCTGCCGGGCATAGTGGAGGCGGCCAACCCTGAAGGGCCTGGGTCTGTGGAGTGATGGGGCCCGGCAGGCGTGGAGAGCTGGGGTGGTGTGGGGGCCTCATCAGCTGCACTCGACGGGCAGGCAGCCGTGGGGACGTGGCTGAGCTGAAGACATGGAGGCGGGCTGGGGGATCCTAGTGTGGCTGTTAACAGAAGGAGGTGGAGCAGCAGGGGTCTTGTGTACCTTGAGCCTCCAGTGGCTGTGGAGTCTCATATGCCATGTCTCTCCACAGAAGGTGGACGTCACCAGCAAGGCGGTGACTGAAGTGCTGGCCCGGACTATCGAGTACCTGCAGCCCAACCCAGGTGGGTGCTCCAGCCGCTGCCTCTCCAGCCACTGCTAGGGCCTGCCCAGGCCCTCAGAGGGAACGTAGGGGCTGACAGAACCACCAGGCTCATGGGTGGCAGGTTTCAGGCACCGCTGGATCCAGGCAGCAGAGGCTGTGCTTGCTTTTCCACCTCAGCCAGCAGCTCAGCCCCTCTGTTGCCTCACTCAGGCCAGCCGGTTCCTCGAGGCTGTCCCAGCCTTAAACCTCTTCCAGCCAGCAGTCCTGGCAGGGAGCCTCTCCCCCAGCTCACTTGTGGGACCTATTTGTATTGACTGCCCCTCCCCAGAGCCCCTGGCCTGGGTCCCACTCCTGGGACGTTGAGCTGGGTCTCCCAGGCCATGAGGCAGACTTTTCCCCAAATGCGGGCTCCATAGGAGGCAGCAGACATGGGGTGGACCCAAACCCAGCATCATCCTCTCAAGCCCTGCCAGGAGCAGACCTGAGCAGGCAGCGGAAAGGACATAGCTCCTCACCCACCCCAGGAGCCTTGGCCTCCCCACCCCCCAATGTCCATCACCGCTACACATAATCCTTCCTGGCACCCCCCTAGATGAGGGGTTCCTGGTCATAGCCACCTTCTGGGAGGAACAGCCCTTAGAAGGAGGAGGTGTTGTCCCAAGGAGCTTGGTCACCTCTCCGTGCGCTGCCAGCTCCTTCGAGGCTGGTGGGAGCAGGTAAGGGACCCTCCACTGTGCTTTGTGTGGCTTGGACTGTCCGCAGGCACAGGAAGTGAGGGTGGGGCAGGGGATGTGGGGGCTGCAGCCCACTCCCACCGGGCCGTCCTATTCCAGCCTCGCGGGCTAAGCTGACCATGCTCAACACGGTGTCTAAAATCCGGGGCCAGGTGAAGAACCCCGGCTATCCGCAGTCGGAGGGGCTCCTGGGCGAGTGCATGATCCGCCATGGGAAGGAGCTGGGCGAGTCCAACTTTGGTGAGTACTGCTCTCTGGAGGCCATGCCCCCGTGAGGCAGGGCAGGTCCAGGTCCCATCCATGGCCCAGTCCCTGCCTGTGCTGAGCCCTGGGGATGCATGATGGCCCCCACAGCTTTCCAGTTGCAGGGGACTGCACAGACAGAGCCATCCAGCACTGGCTAGCCACTGGCCAGCTGCCAATGGGGCTCCTTCTTATGGCTCCAGATCTTCCCCAGCATCTGTCCTCTCACCACCTTCAGCCTGTTGAGGGCAAACCTGGGCCCTTTTAGGAGCACGAGGAGGGGCTGGTTTAACATCCCACCTGGATTCGGATTGTAGGAGCCTTTGTTCTGCTCTGAGTTCCTGGAGTGTGGGGCCGTTAGAAGTTGGGATGGGGCCAGGCGCAGTGGCTCACACCTGTCATCCCAGCACTTTGATAGGCAGAGGGAGATGGATCACCTGAGGATGGGAGTTCCAAGACCAGCCTGACTAACGTGGAGAAACCCTGTCTCTACTAAAAATAAAAAATCAGCCGGGTGTGGCGGTACATGCCTGTAATCCCAGCTACTTGGGAGGCTGAGGCAGAAGACTCGCTTGAACTCGGGAGGCGGAGGTTGCGGTGAGCTGAGATTGCACCACTGCACTCCAGCCTGGGCAACAAG